CTGAAGTAAATGGGATGAAATTCAATAAGAACAAATGCAAAGTACTACACTTATGAAGGAACAATCAGTTGTACACATACAAAATGGAAAGGACTGCTTAGAAAAGAATACTGTGGAAAGGGATCCGTGGGTCACAGTGGATCACAAGCTAAATATGAGTGAACAGTGTAACACTGTTGCAAAAAAAGCGAATGTCATTTTGGGATGTATTAGCAGGAATGTTGTAAGCAAGACATAAGCAATAATTCTGCTCTACTCCGCGCTGATTAGGCCTCAACTGGAGTATTGTGTCCAGTTCTGGATGCCACATTTCAGGAAAGATGTGGCCAAATTGGAGGAAGTCCAGAGAAGAGCAACAAAATGACTAAAGGTCTAGTAAACATGACCTATGAGGGAAGATTTAAAGATTCTATGATTCTGTGTTTTCTGAATCTAACCCTTTTGCTTTTATGTTAAAAATGTGTCCAAAAACTAAACAAAACATTTAGTTTTGGGTCAAACAAAATATTTCAGTTGACCCGAAATGAAATTTTTGTGAACTTTTTTTAATTCAATTTTGGAATTTTCAGGTTTAATTTAATCAGAACCATTTTTTTCTGCAGAACTGCCAGTGAATGGAAAAATCAGTATTCACCCAGTTCTACCTACCATTCCAGCATTTTCATATAAATATATTGATGAAAGCCTGCCTTAGAGAAAGTAATGAATTTTAACTTTCCAGTTGGTGAATGGGTTGCTGTGTTACTGGAGAGGAAGCATATTAAAGCATAGAATCGTAGGACTGGATGGGACCTTGAGGGGTCATCTAATCTAGTCTTCTGCACTCATGACAGGACTAAGTAGACCATCCCTGACAGGTGTTGTCTTACCTGCTCTTAAAAATTGAGATTCCACAACCTCCCTATGCAATTTATTCGAGTACTTAACTGCCCTGACAGGAAGTTTTTCCTAATGTCCAACCTAAACTGCCCTTGCTGCAATTTAAGCTCATTACTTCTTGTCCTATCCCCAGAGGTTAAGGAGAACAGTTTTTCTCACTCCTCCTTGTAACAAACTTTTATGTACTTGAAAACTGTTATGCCCCCTCTCAGTCTTCTCTTCTCCAGACTAAACAAACCCAACTTTTTCAATCTTCCCTCATAGGTCATGTTTTCTAGACCTTTAATCATTTTTGTTTCTCTTCTCTGGACTTTCTCCAACTTGTCCACATCTTTCCTGAAATGTGGCACCCAGAACTGAACACAATATTCCAGTTGAGGCCTAATCAGAAAGAATGGTTTCTCGTGTCTTACTTACAACACTCCTGCTAATACATCCCAGAATGATGTTTGCTTTTTTTGCAACAGTGTTACACCTTTGATTCATATTTAGCTTGTGATCCACTATGACCCCCAGATCACTTTCTGCAGTACTCCTTTCTAGTGAGTCACTTCCCATTTTGTGTGTATGCAACTGATTGTTCCTTCCTAAGTGTAGTACTTTGCATTTGTCCTTATTGAATTTCATTCTATTTACTTCAGACCATTTCTCCAGATATTTAAAAAAAGAACAAAAACAAAAACAAAACAAGTAAAGCAACCACAGAATTGGAAGGTAAGAAATAGGGTTTATTTAGTAAGGAGAATGAGTTCTCGTGAATAAGCTCCCTGCCATCCAGTCAGCAACTGCTTGCAATTCTGCGTCTGGTTCTTTCTCCTCTACTAAGGAAAGCTATTACTGGCTAGGGGCTGCAATAAACTCCAGACCAACACCAGGGAAGATATGGAAATAGGTTGCCTTGCTTTATGTAAACATCACCACTCCAACTTGTGACAGGGAGCTTCTCTCTCTAATGATGCCTGGAGAGAGGTAGTTATGCAAACTCTTCCCTTACATCAGTGCAGGGAGTTCCATCCCCGCCAGACTGTGATCGCTATAAGTTACTTTATAACTATAAGTTAATTGTCACCATTAACTAGCTGGCATTGCATCACACGTGGTAGCATCTGAAATTACCACAGTTTCCCCTCTACTTAGAAAATAACTATGATAATTACGCGGTGATGGTTGGCAAAATGTTTACCTTTTATTAGTTTCTACTATATATACACACAATGGAAAACTAGAAGGAAAGTTGATTTTTATATTTACTTTTATCATTCTGCATTTTGTAAAAATGCGTATGACTGAGTAACCTGTTTGTGAAGAGAATTTCTGGAGAAATGTTTGGCATTTCAGCAAATCTGCTTTCCTACTTGCTTTGTGTACTGTGTGTTTAGCTTACTAACACTGTTCAAGCAGTTTTTTTTTTTAAAAAGCACCTCCTATCCCATTCTATTCTATTTAGATTAACACAGTTTGACTAATGAGAAAGTCAGCACAATTTTCAGAAAACATAAACATGAATCAAATAATGCCAAAATGTTATCTACAAGTAGCATTAAAGTAACCAGGGTAAGAGTGACATTCAGAAAATTAGCTTAGAATTTAGCTTTTGAAGACTATTTTAAATTCAATATCCAGCATGCACTGTGCTGAAATGTGGACATCTTTCTAGAAGATATGCTCCAGTTCAACCAGAATTTGTGGGATTGACACATGGTGAAATTCTGTGGCTTCTATTTACAAAGGTAACCTAAGTCCTCTTTTTATTTATTTTTTGGAACACTTAATATTCTTATTTTTTTAGAGAGTTATTAAAATAAATCAATTACAAAGTAAGAATATTAAAAAAGATTAAACTCTTACACAAGACTATAACCAAACAGGCTTTATTTTATGGCTATAGGCTGGCTATACTTTCCAGTGGAGTTCCAGGGTGGGAGTCGCATCAATAAAACAATACATCCTGAAATGCCATAGATAACAAGAGCCATCCATAGCAGTGCTATATATGGTGGACCCAAGAAAGAAAAAACATATAGTTATTAAATTAATGAGCTGAATTGTCCCTCTTACCCTGGTTACCTGGGGCACTCAGCACAAAAATCTAATGTTGTTGGATTATATTCAGGTTATCTTTAAGAGAAAAGGAAAAACAGAAGAGAACACTTAAAAATAATTCTGAAAGATGCATCAAGTATCTGTAGATGGGGGTCAGGGGAGGGGGAAGAAGATAAAGGTGAGAGAGAGAATTTACTTACCTAAGATTAGGTAAACTGGTGGAAAAATCCACCAACCTTGGGAAGTTCACTGAACCCTTGCAGAGAATTAGTGTTATAATGCTCCAAGAAGCCTCTATATTTCCTTGTCTTTTTTACTGAGATGATACCTCTTCTTCCTATAACAAAACATCCATTGTATTAAAGTCATCTTTACAGAGACACAAACTACTTCAATTATCAAATAGCTGTACTTCATATAATATGTGTGATGTGTCTCTGACAAACTGCTCCACAGCATAAGGGTGATGGCTATATAATGGGAATTTGTAGAATGAGACCTTTAAAAAAAATGGAGGTCATTTATTCGTAGGGCAAGAAGAGGGACAACTGCTTTTTATCATGTTGTTTAGAGGAACTACCAATAAAGCTTAGAAGAGTTAAAATTTTTGTACTGTGATTCCCATCCGTCAGCTCATCAGCAACAATGGGGCTAAATAAATTCTTCCCACTCCTGTCCGTCTTGTACCAGCTTCACGGCTTTGTCAATCTTTAATCATTTTTGTTGTGTCATTCTTTATCATGTCTATACAATGCATTCTTGATTTTCCTATATTTCTAGTTCCTTGCACTCCATGGTGTGTCTCACCATGTATGGTATTCTTTCCAGGTCCATTCTTGACATGTGTCCAAACCACCATAGTCATCTTTCTTGAATCTCTGGTGTCTTTGCCGTGTACATTATAAGTTAACTATATACGTAGGTGAAAGTTTTAGAAGTGCAAAAGTGATTTTAATGGACTTAGATCCTTCTGAAAATGAGCCTCAGGCTCCAGAGTCATTTATATACTTTTGAAAAACAATAATGGCTAATAAACAATTTACAAACTTATTGATAAAGAAGTATTTACGTTTTCTTCCTTGTTGCACATTTACATATGCAAATGTTGCATATTTACCTACCAATAATTTCTGAAATTACTAAAAAGTTGAAATAAAAAATAAATCAATATGTGATGAAAGCTACATTATGTTGAGCGGTAAATGATATAGTTAAAGTTGTAGCAAAATTTTAATTTTTACTGCAGTAAATTAATTTTTATTTTATAGAAATGTAGTAAAAAAACCCAAAGAAGTCAGAATATTTGATTTTTTTCATGTTGGTTTGGTGCAGACTGGTTGATACACATAGAATCATAGGACTGGAAGGGACCTTGAGAGGTGATCTAGTCTAGTCCCCTGCACTCATGGTAGGACTAAGTAGACCATCTCTGAAAGGTGTTAATCGAACCTGCTCTTACAAATCTCCACTGATGGAGATTCCGCAATCTCCCTACGCAATTTATTCCAGTGCTCAACCACCCTGACAGTTAGGAAGTTTTTCCTGATGTCCAACCTAAACCTTGCTGCAATTTAAAGCCCATTGCTTCTTGTCCTATCCTCAGAGGTTAAGAACAACAATTTTTCTACCTCCTCCTTGTAACCTTTTATGTACTTGAAAACTGTTATGTCCCCTCTCAGTCTTCTATTTCCAGACTAAACAAACCCAATTTTTTCAATCTTCCCTCATAGGTCATGTTTTCTAGAGCTTTAATCATTTTTGTTGCTCTTCTCTGGCCTTTGTCCAATTTGTCCACATCTTTCCTGAAATGTGGCACCCAGAACTGGACATAATACACCTCTACCCCGATATAACGCGACCCTATATAACATGAATTTGGATATAACACAGTAAAGCAGCACTCCGGGGGGGCGGGGCTGCACACTCTGGTGGATCAAAGCAAGTTGGATATAACGCGGTTTCACCTATAAACACGGTAAGATTTTTTGGCTCCCGAGGACAGCGTTATATCGGGGTACAGATGTACTCCAGTTGAAGCGAAACAGCGCAGAGTAAAGTGGAATCATATTTAGCTTGTGGTCCACTATGACCCCCAGATGCCTTTCAGCAGTACTCCTTCCTAGGCAGTCATTTCCCATTTTGTTTGTGTGCAACTGATAATAACTTCCTAAGTGAAGTACTTTGTATTTATCTTTATTGAATTTCATCCTATTTACTTCAGACCATTTCTCCAGTTTGTCCAGATCATTTTGAATTTTAATCCTATCCTCCAAAGCATTAGCAACCCCTCCCAACTTGGTATTGTCCGCAAACTTTATAAGTGTACTCTCTATGCCATTATCTAAATCATTGATGAAGATATTGAACAGAATCTGACCTAGAACTGATCCCTGCGGGACCCCACTTGATATGCCCTTGCAGCATGACTATGAACCACTGATAACTACTCGCTGGGAATGGTTTTCCAACCAGTTATGCACCCATCTTATAGCAGCTCCATTTATGTTGCATTTCCCTTGTTTGTTTATGAGAAGGTCATGCAAGACAGTATAAAAAGCTTTGCCAAAAAGTATAACTTGACTTTAGTAATGTCCAAAAAGACCACTTTTGAGCCTCATCTTTCTTTGAATCACGTTTTACGAAAATGTTTAAGCTCCTGGGATCTAAGTTTTACTTCATGTTATTCTACATATGCTAAGTAGGACAGTACCAATAAGTAGGAGCTCCTTCTATTTTGTGTTTTTTCTTCAATTTTCCAATCACTGTTTTTGAATACATTGATATGAAACAAAAATATTAAATTCTGCCAACAATATCATCCCCATAGCAGTTTATATGATAAAGTGTTGTCTGCATAGGACTTCAGACCACACAATGTTTCCAACTGCAGCTACACAGCATAAAAAGAGAGACAGATACAGTTTAAATCTCACTTATACTAATGGAGGTTTACATGCCAATTCTCTTCATCAACTGAGGCCATGGCTACAGTCCTAGATGTCAAGCAGCCACTGCCACATACTTCTTTACAAATAAGTCAACATAGAGGTTACATAAAGTCACAGTTAGGAATAGAACCCAGGTTTCTAGTAGCCCCAAATATTACCCACTTAGCAACAATGTTTAAAAACATACATCCTTTTGTTACCCTAGCTCTAACTCAAGGATCTCAAACACACGGCCCACAGAGTTATTTCCTGCGGCTCGCCATATGCGCCAACTCCATGGATGCTCCCTTCACCCACCGGCAGCCAAGCTCACCTCACCCCTCATACTCCCCCAGCACGCCGTATCCCCGCTCCTCCACCTACCTACCAGCACTTAGGACTTTCCAGGAGGGAGGGGGGAGGAGGGAGGACGCGGCATGCTAAGGGGAGGAGGCGGAGAAGAAGTGGGGCCCGGGAGGGGATTTGGGAAAGGGTTTGGAATAGGGGCAGGGAAGGGGCAGAGTTGGGGCGGGGACTTTGGGGAAGGGGTTGGAATGGGGGTGGGGAAGGGGTGGGAAGAAGTGGGGCAGGGGCGGGGCCCCATGGAAGGGGTGGAGTGGGGGTTTTGCAGTCTGTTACCAACCAATTTTGAAGTTCTCAGCTATTTTGACTTGACAATTGGTGTACATCTGTGCTGTGCCAAGAGTACTAGACCACTGTGATATGAGAGATAACTCAACCAATCACCACCCTTACTCAATAGCTAATTTGCATGCTACAGTTTCATTGGTTGTATGAGGGAGACTTCATAGATGGTGGATTACACCCTTGTGCCTAGCTGCCACCTCACATATCAGCACAACCACCTACACAACAACACAACCAGCAAGTCCAAATACAGATAGCCCCTCACCCCAGGACACACCCCTTATTTGCCACCAACACAAAACCATCAAAATTTCCCAGCACAAAACAACCCAGGCACAAATCAACTCAGCTTCCCATCACAACACACATTTGCCCACCCTCACTCATACTTCCCATAAACTAAGTGGCAAGTCTTTTGGTAGTAAGCATATATTGGGCTACTGTGACAACACAATAAAAGTCAGTAGAAAAATTACTGTAAGATGCTATACAATTTAAGGGTGTAGAAAAAAGGTATATATTATATGAGAAACAGTATGTGACCCTGTAATTTAAAGATTACATGATAACACAGTCTCAAAGGGGCAGAGAAAAAGTTGTGAGTGCAACCCTAATTTTGGCATGTGTGCTTAACTGTGCAGTCTTAATATTCTCTTAGTGTAGTTTTTTGTATGGAATGGTGTCATAACTATAAAGGGAAGGGTAACAGCCCTCCTGTGTACAGTACTATAAAATCCCTCCTGGCCAGAGACTCCAAAATCCTTTTACCTGTAAAGAGTTAAGAAGCTCAGGTAACCTGGCTGACACCTGACCCAAAGGACCAATAAGGGGACAAGATACTTTCAAATCTTGGTGAAGCTAGCCAAGAGGGTGGGAATAGTCACGCGCAGCCAGGCTAAGCAAGCTTTCACCCCCATCCCTGTTCCTGAGCCGTCCACCAGGGCCCCATCTGGGTTACCAGAGACCCAGACAAAGGTGGTGGAACCGGATCCCCTGCCAATGACTGCAACAGCCGTAGTGGATCCTATCCCAGAGACCCAGCCAAAGCCAGTCCCAGAACCGGAACTGGCAACACAACCAGCGCCAGAACCATTGCCAGCACTGAGTACAGCGCTTGCAAACCCGTCTACAACTCCAACACCAGAGGGCACCAGTGAGCCTGAACTGGCAGAAGCAGCAGATAACCCTACCCAAGAGGCTCAGCCGGAGCCTGAAATACAACATAGTGCACCAACGGACAGCGGTTCACAGTCAACGGAAACAGCTCCAGCACTTGCATCACTTCTAGAGGGACCAAGCCCAAGTCCACAGTCCAAGGAGGAACTGTTGTCTCCAGCATCAAGGGAACAGTTCCAGGCCAAGCAGGAAGCAGATGACAGCCTTCAGAAAGCTTGGGCGGCGGCACGGAGCACCCTACTGCCTCTCAGCTCTTCTAACCGATCCCAGTTTGTTGTAGAACAAGGACTTTTATACAAGGAGACTCTTTCTTAGTGGGACCTCAAAGACAGTTGGTAGTTCCCACTAAGTATCGGGTAAAGCTCTTGAGCTTAGCCCATGATCATTCCAGTGGCCATTCTGGGGTGAACAGAACCAAAGACCGGTTGGGGAAGTCCTTCCACTGGGAGGGAATGGGCAAGGACATTGCTAATTATGTCCGGTCTTGTGAGGTGTGCCAACGAGTGGGAAAGCCCCAAGACCAGGTCAAAGCCCCTCTCCAGCCACTACCCATAATTGAGGTCCCATTTCAGCGAGTAGCTGTGGA